TTAATATCGTCGTATTACTTTCGGGATCCACCGTTATTTATCACTATACTTGCAGCCATTTCTTGTCCCGTACGACACGATTTGTCACAACACGGCAATTCGGGACCTAACCCCCTGTACTCGCGTCTGCCAGGGCGTGGATGAGCCCACGTTCCGACGATTAACTCTTATCTGGTCCACCTGGCAGCGATGTTAATAAGACCGACTTCCGTATGTAATCCACGTAGAAGGTGGCCGTGATAGGGACGGAGAAAAGAAGAAATGCAAAAACCCGATGGAGGAGCAGAAATCCTCGCGTTCCTCGCGTTCAGCAAGCGCCGCCATCTTTTTACATCTGAATCTTATTAAAGCGTTCGCCGTCTAATAAATTCCGGATCATATGGAAATAGAAAAAATCCCGCCAGGAGTGGAGCGAGAAGGCAACGGATCAGAGTGTCGGAAGGAAACGAACGAAGAAACAAATTCTTGGATTAACGTTCATCCCCTTTCTCCCTCTCTCTCGTTCCCCTCGTCGTGTATCCGAGAAGGACAGAGACGCGAGTTTCGTTACGCGAAAAGCGCCCGCTTATCGCGCATGGTTTCGCGTTTAAAGAGCAGAGGAGAAGAAAAAAGAGACGGGAAGGTAACAAGAAATTTTCCTATCCCGCGCGGAAAATGCAGAAAAATTCGACGAAATTTTTCAAACGTAGAATGGACGTTAATCCCGCGCATTTTTTCCCCGACGTCTACGTCTGCACGCGGAATTTTCCTCGATCCGCGAGTATCCGGAGCTCCTTGGCCCTAAATTCCACTCGACGTCAGCCGGAAACTTGGCAAACCGATTTAAACCGAAGTCGAGCAACTTCCGGAGACCTGTCCGGTCACCATCGATACGGGGACGAAGATATTCGAGGGAAAGCGAATGGAAGACGATCGGAGTCGCGAATACTCGCGCGTTTCGCGATTAATTCGCGAATGCGAACCCGTTTCGCGATTTACGCTAGAACTACCGATCTTTAATTGGTACCTAACTGTAACGCGCACAGATTATAGTAATTTCAGCGATACGATGAATACGAGTGAATACATTGATTACAGTTCATTCTTAACCCTCTGCAATCGACGACTTTTTCGTCGCAGAAAAATAGTAATTCGAAGACTTTCTCTCATAGAGTCGACGATATTTTTAAAATGGTAAATGAGAAATCATACGAAAATTAACACGTAGAATTATTTTTCTTCGACATTACACGCATCGTTAGGTAATTTTAAATTTGATATATTAATTAACGTCGGTCTTTAGAATCTGATTAAATGGTGACTGAGAGTCACCTCTCGAGTGCAAAGGGTTAATATTACCAATTTTATTCTTAAAGCAGGTGTATGTGTTCGGTGATTACAAACAGAAAAATTTTGGGACCAGTCAATTTGGGTGGGTTGGTAGTTCTAGTGTTAACCCTTTCACTGCCAAGCCGAAATTACGTTTCACGCAGGACGTCACGGGAGTGCACCCCTAGATGCAAGATTGGTTCTAATATTTTTTTGATCGATGTTCTGATACAAATTTTTAATTGTTCAATGGGGCACTTTTTATTTCGAAGTATCTCCTAATTAGAGGTATATTCAAAATGCACTAACTGTCAATTTTCATTCAATTTTTAAAATTGTAAGTAGTTCAAGTCCGGTTATCAATGACCACCGTGGCGTCACAGGAGAAACCATGGCAGGTCATGTATTACTAACGTGGCAGTCAAATGGTTAACCCTTATCGGACGTTAGCTTTTTGCACGTGATACTCACTAGGTTGTAGCTGATTTCGGTAAATATGCGGAAAATTTCCGTCTTGTCACTTCACACGTGACGTACGACCGCAGGGACTAGGTACTGTTGCGACGTGAGAGGTGACTCACGACCGATAAGGGTTAATTCGCGAATGGGAACGCGTTTCGCGATTAATTCGCGAATGAGACGTTTCGCGAATAACGCGTTGCCACGATCGAATGTTGACGCGTGGACAGAAGGAAGCCGAAGGAGGGCAAAGCGAAGTGCAAGCGGGATTGTTAGCCCGGGAACTCGCGGAGAGACCGCGGGCCACGCGCAGGGAACAAGAGAAAAGAGAGAAAAAGTGGGAAAAGAAGAAACGGAAGGCGACGGAAAACGGTGGCGAAGAAGTTGGTCAGAAGAAACTCGCTCCTCGCCACTTGCAATTTGACGAGAGAATTCCTGTTTCGCGGCAACTTCGTTTATTCGGGCAAGTTTTCCAATATTGAGATGAACAGCCTTAATACAGCTGCAACCACCGAAATATGCGACGCCGGTGGGTAAACTTGGCGACGAGGACGCGACGAAGACGGAAGGAAAACGGAAGGGAAGACTAAGCTGGCCGGCTCGTTGCGATAAGAAGAATGGCGCAACTTTGCTCCCGGGCGAAACTGTTCCCTCGATCATCGGGGCGTTTCCGGAAAACAGTTCCTTCAGCGTGCAATTTTTCCAGCTCCGCGAAATGCGCGAAACAAAACGGTTTCGGCTTTCTTTGCCTGTGCTAATCGAATCTGTAACGGTGCGCTTTTTCCCCCATTTCCTATCGAATACTCGCCAACGAATATTCCTTTTTTCCGGCTGACGCGTACATTTTACAACTATCGTTGAACTCGAGTTCGAATTTCCAACGAACATGACGGATCATTCGTTCCACTCGTTGATTTTCTTGCTCTCCTTAACCCCTTGCCCTACGATATAAGATTCAACAGCGTGGTCCCAAAATGTGAACAGAACTACCAAACCTTTGAACCATCCTAAGGTACCATCAACTTACACGGGCGTGACACGTGGTGTTTACATTTGGCCCGGCCGACGTAACACGTGCCAGGTCCGTGATAGTCACTTTTGACCCAACCGATGTACCACGTGCCAGACTCGTGATAATCAGCTCTGGCTCGAAAATGTGACTACGAGCCTCACACGTGGTTGTAGGTCAAAGGTTAATTATTCCTGTTACCGCGTTAATGAACGAGTGACGATACACCGGTAATTCAGTTGAAAAAAGTTGTCCATCGACTTTACGAGCGCGTCTGCGCGATTACATCAGCGACACACGTATTTACGTCTCGATTAAGCGCGTGTAAGAGGAGCAATGTGTCTCACTTTCGTATCCTCTTGATTGTACTTTATCTCGTCCACCCACGCCGTCGATATTAAGACGAACGCGCTGGACACGTGCATCCAGTGGATATTCAATATTGCGTTATAAATCGCCAGCGGATGTATATATACCGGGATGCAATCGCGTCTGACGAAACTTGTTTACGAATCACGCGACCTTTCTAATCGTCTAATCGAAAATTCTCCGTTTGCTAACGATAGCGGAACGCGGAGATAAAATATTCACATAAAATGAGAGAATAGAGCATCCAAATGAAGTAAAACGCTTCGATCGGTTGGAGCGTTAGGAAAATACGGCGATCGGATATGGGGAGACTTTTCTGAGACTTTTCCGAGGTTTTTCCAGGACTTTTCCGAGACTTTTGCAAGAATTTTCCGAGAATTTTCTGAGATTTTTTTTCGAGAATTTTCCGAGACTTTGGAGAAGAAAATACGAAACACTTACGCCAGGTGGAAAGCAAGCAGTCGCCTCGAGATCGCAGTCCTCGTCCGTTACAAGGATTCGGAAAAGCTGTCCAAAGGTCACCAGCGTCCAGCAACGAGCGATAAAAAAAGCCGTCAGGAGAGGAGAGGAGAGAAGAGAGAGAGAGGCGAGAGAAAAAGAGAAGACAGAGAAAGCAAGCGTGCTTTGCTCGGTCGTAAGCGTAACGAGAAGTGGGCTGACTTACAACGGAACGTCCGACGTCGGTAAAAATTCCGCGCGATCTGCAGAACGCGTTAACAGATTCTGGCCGGAGCCAGGCGACGAACAGAGACGATAAAAATTTTACTCCGAGCGTGCCGCGTCGATTATCGTCGGCCCAAAGAAAATTTCCCGATATTGCGATAATAAAGACGATACGCGTGGGCGCGGCAGCGGCGGCGGCCGGGGGGCGCGAGATTAAAGGAAACTGGGGGGGAAAAGAGGGAGAAAAGACGCGTTCCGAGGGGCGTCAGCAGCGTGTAACGACGATAAAACTATGGAATAACGATGAAACTTCTCGGCTATAGGTCTCTTACGATCCGCCGAAAGGCGGAGCGATTAAAAAGGAAGAATAGCGGCGGACAGGAATGGAATAATAGGAAAGAACGAGGAGGATGAAAGGGTCCGGTAATTGCGGCAGTTAAGCCTAATGGCGAGCAGATGATCGACGAAACGTGGATGGAAAAAATGGAGCGACGTCGATTTTGCACTGGAGGTGAGAAATCGACAGGTGGGCAGCGATAAGTGCCTGGTGTAAACGCGATTCATCGAACATCGAAGGCACGTGAACGAAACGCGAGAAGTGGTAAAAGAGAATAAGAGAAACAGAGAAACGGAAGATCCTGCTGTGCCGGCTGCACTTGAAACTTGTTAATGCCGAGTAATTAACGCGGCGAATAATCGCCGACTGTTCGCGATGCGCCATTCGCGTGACAAAGGGATCTAATGAAAGCAAGTTGAATTCCCCGGGGTCGATTATCTTCGATCGTTTCGGGAAGAACCGCGAGAAAAATTGGCCCCGTTTCCGAGCAGTTTGCCGGACGCCGGGAGTTAACGACCGAACGGGTTAAGTCCAATTACGGCAAATTTCTCGCAGGCCAGTGCGATCACTCGAAAACCACGCATTACGAGGCAACACGGTTAATCAAACTCGCACCATCCTTCGCTGCTCGTCCTCGGGCAGCTCCGGATCGTCGCGCAGAGGAGGACCCGTTGGATTAGTGGGAAAATCATTCGGACAGAAAAATAGAAAGAAGGAAAGCCGCGGAGCGCGACGAGACGCGAGAACCGATCGATGCTTTCACTTTTATCGCGCGAAAAATCATCGTTCCCGCGTCGTAAAGCGCATATTTACCACGAAAAACCAGCAAGAACGCTCATTCGCGTATGCACATACCTGTTTGCGCAGCAACCACGTGGCTAGTCGCGTAGATCCCTCTATGAAGCAAGCCTCGGTCGATCCTCGATCCTCTTTGATCTTCCACCTCCCGTCACTCAGTTTTCACGGATGTTCGCCAAATTTTCCGTCTGTCAAAGAAAACGAGAAAAATCGTGAAAACTGTGATCTCCGATTCGTCGAACGCGGACAAAATTTGACAAAAATGAATCCTAATGACCTAACCTAGCATTCCTTCGCTACAGTGAGAAATTAAAATTCTAAAATTAAAATTCGATACTCGTGTTCGTGACGCGTGCACCGCGAGTTTTCCGACCGCGATCCAGAGTCGTGCCGAGCTCGCAAGGGTAATGGAAACGTTTTCCCGATAACTCGTGACCAGATAATGGTGGATCGACTAGCATTTGAACAACCGGCCGGGTAAATAAGCCTGCTAAACGCGACCTTTAGAACTCGAGAGTCGCGTGCTCGAGGAGAGGATGCATCGCGACTTTCGCGGACTCTTTCAACGGTGCACCTTCGTGTGACGTTAATCGAGTCATTATGCAACCGGCAATATACGTGGCCCCGTGGCAACGCGAATGACGAGGCTGTTGCGCGGAGTTCACGGAAACGCGCTGAACGTCGCGATCCTCGCAGGAATCGAGTTTCTATACCGGGATCAAAGAGAGACGCGTTGGTTCGTAACGAAATTGAAAATCTTTAAACAAAGGGACGCGCGAGTCGGGATCATGGATTCCGGGCACGGAGTTGGAAAAGCAGAGTAAATCAGCTGTACAACGCGACCATACAACTCGATAACTTCTGGGCCGGAGATTCGACGATTTACGAGCCTCGATTTACCGACTAGATACTTTTCAAAGCGTACACGCCGTGGTACCGGTTTGCAGTACACGCGTCCTACGTGTTCGTCCTGGAAATTACGACGAAACGTCCGAGTCTACCGTTTGCATCTCGCAAACGTCCGAGTGCATGTCTTATCGCCGTGCAAATGCCGTAAAATTACCGTCATTACGCGACAAACCGCTCCGTTGCCTCATGACAATGTTAGCATGAGAACTACCGAATCGGCCAATAAAGCCTGGTCTGTAATTTTTCAGAAAAATAGATCGCCTCGAGTGACGTCCTCTGCAGGAAAGACCGGGGTTCCAGACTGACGTGTACGTCGTTGGAAACGTGTTACGAAAATTCGTAGGTTCGAGAAAATTATGGCAATGCGGTTTGCATTGCCATATATGGTAGAGATACACGCGCTAATTGTCACTGGATGTTACGACGAAGATCAACGAGGAGCTTTTCGATCACGCTAATGTTCTTTTTATGGAAATATCGGTCGGCTGCGCGAGTATCGTGGACATCTGATCGCGATAAATGGAAATATTCATAAGCGATAGGAGAGATAAACGGTAAGAGCCTCGGGAGCTCGTATCGAATCGCGATTATTTTCTTTTCGAATTAACCGGCCCTCCGACACTCGTTACGACAGTCGTTAATGGACATTTCGCGGATTTATGTAATCCGCGAGTTATCGGGATAACGAGGGCCCGCGGAAACCGCGTTACGTCACCGGTAAATAGGTTGCAAAGTTACCGCGCAGAAAACGATAGGAGGATTAACGCGAAACGATAAACAGGTAGCCGGAGCGACATCGATCACCCGATCGACCAGGAGCGCGTCGAGGAACTCTGCCGCAACGAGCACGCAACCACGTATAATTTTCACTCCGCCTATCGCGAGATAACGTTATCACGATACCATCATCGAAACGATCGCGACAATGAAGCAACACTGAGAAAACAAGAAAAGAATTACGTACGTATACGTACATCTACGTGTTTCGTTTTCCCATTCGAACGTTGGTCTTTGACGAACGGAGGAAATCGAGGAGACGAATGCACGGAAAGAGGAACACGTACGCGTACGTATAAATACATAAGAATCGCGACGATTTGAATTGCAACAACCTTCGAGGCGATTTTCCCCCGATCCTCGCACGCGACTTGGGCGACTGGTGTATGCACCTGTTCACAATTTTCGGCAAGGTAAAATCGAGCGGGAACTCGTTTCACGCGAACAGGAACCGGTCGAGTGAAAGTAACGCGGCACGAAGAAGCACGTGGCACGAGTGTTTTCGAGAAACCCGTAACGAAAGAATGTTCACGCGACGAGAGCTCGCTGCTCACTGACGCGGCGACGCCGTGCAGGGTGGCCTTACCCCCACTTCTCCGCTTCCCCCACCGCGCGGCCGACAGCGGCCCGCGTAGAATAACTCATCTCTCTATCGAAGGCTTCGAATTATTCGAATAAATCGCAATCTACCTCGATATTTTTCAACTTTCCACCTATTTCTGTTTCTCCATTTGTTTTATTACTCACCACGGAAGCTCTATTCGTCGCTATCGGGCATCGAACCACGCGAGTGCCGGCAGTAATCGATTCGGTAACTAGAAAGTGGTATCGATTATCGTTAACGTGTCCGCGGAATTAAGATCATTGAAAAGAACCTGACATTTCGCCTCGTATCGCCGAATCAATTTCCTACTTATAAACTTACCGTCGAACTACTGTCACGCGGTTCTCAACCTCGACGCTAATCCGTAACCTCGATAATCGGTTAAAAATACAAAATGCGGAATATTCGGACTCGCGGATAAATATGGCCGCCGTTCCCGTGCGTTCGATCCGGGGAAGCTTGGAAATCGTGCGATTCGTCCTTCGCGCCGCGTTTGTCCAAACAATATCAACTGCATCCCCTAACTCGACAATCCTGCAACTCCCGGGTGAACCGAGACAATCTCCACCCGTATATTCAGTCGCGACTCGTTAATCAATTTAAGCTGGCAATCTCGATCGGCGAAGAGGCACGGAGCTGATTCCAGTCGCGTAATTAATACCGGGCGCTTGTACTGCACAGGAATAACACGAGTCCAATGACGATTCTGACCAATGGAAAGGCGACACGGGCGACAAGAGGCTGGCAGTAAATGCAAACGACTTGACCCGACCGACGGAGATCGAATCGAGACAAGACACGTAGACTCCGCCGTTCGTGTCTCTGTCGAATAAACGCCCGGAACGTCTACACCGAGTAGACTGCAAGAGTGCACGGGCCGCACAAAAGGAACGTGCGAGATCGAGGTCCCCGTACGGTTGCAAATTCAATTACCAGTCGGCCATTAAGTGCCGCGTGATCAAGACACCCCGGACCACTTCCTTTTTCTCTCCACCTTTTCTCCACCCTTCCTCTCCGTGCCTCCCCTCCGATCCTCTACGTTATGTGCGAATTACGCGACCACGTGTCCTCTCCCTGTGGTTCCAACTCCCATCACCCCTCTGCTCATCCACTGGGGTTGCGTGCAACGTTTCGTCCCATTTCGTGTCACATTTTTTTTTTCCCCCACGGGAATTGGCCTTTTTGATGGGAAATTAGTTTATAACGTGTAATATTATAGTTAATATTGGTGTACGATGTACGGGGAACTCGCGTATGTGGAAAACAAGAACTTAATTCTGAGATCGCGACTACAATGTCAAGAGTGGCCTGGACTCTCGGGTTACAACTAAAAACCTGAACGAAAGAGAGATACGTAAATGAGAAATGAGGGGAGGTCTAGAAAACTCTGGTGGAATTACTTTATACCGACATATGTAACGGGTGCCCTTAGAACTAAAAACCTGAACGAAAAAAGGGTACCTAAATGAAAGATGAGACGAGTCCTAGAAGACTGGCGGAATTATCTTATCCTGAGATATGTACCCTTATAACTAAAAACCTGAACGAAAAATGATACCTAAATGAGAAATGAGAAGAGTTATTTTATCCTGAGATATGTAACGGGTGTCCTTAGAACTAAAAATTTGAAGGAAAAAAAATATCTAAATGAAAGATGAGACGAGTCCTAGAAGACTCTGGTAGCATTATTTTATCCTGAAATATGTAACGGATGTCCTTAGAATTAAAAACCTGAACGAATAAAAGATACCTAAAAGATGATGAGACGAATCCTGGAGGACTCAGGTGGAATTATTTTATCCTGGGAAATGTAACATATGTAAATAATAATAAACGAAAGTTTTGAGTAATGTAGGATGACGAAAATTGGTTTTGAGATACCAAAAACAAACAAAAACTCATAAAACTAATTTAACTTAGGAAAAGAACACCAAGATAACGCAACCAAAACACACAGAACGCTCGTGCCGGTCACAATTAATTTCTAATAACTCTGTTTTGGTCGTCAAGAACCTTGCTTTTATTCTTTCCTGAACCTACGTTTCACCTCCTCGTAGGGACCGTGCAACTTAATTTTGTTATCCAAAATAACCTTTCCATTTGCTTCTAGAAAATATTGCTCGGTTTATAAAATAATTTGTTTTTGTTGACAATGGACGATTCGCGATTTCTTTCCGAAATGGTATCCTACGGTAATTATATTTTTATACAATTTTTGGGAATAATATAGAAACGAATTTTGTACAAGCTGTTATATAGAATCCTAGTGAATCCTAGCTGTTTCGATATCCTAGTGAATATCCTATAAAATCTGTAGGATTTTTCCGAGTGACAATTGCGAAGATTTAATTTTACCAAGAATAGCTGCTCGCTTTCACTAACAGTGAGAATGAAAATTCCGAAACCAGTCGCTACAGTTCGTTTGATAATTCCAGTGTTGAGCCAACGAGCAAGATTCGCTCCAGGAGATAAAAGTTGGAAGTGTTCGAGAGGAGTTTTAATTTGTGATTTTTATCAGTGACACGGTCAACACCGGCGAAATTACAATTTAACGACTAATCTAGATTCTTCGCGAAGGAATTTCATTATTCAAAGCAACCATCCCGAGCTAACCAACGTGAGTCAGCAGTTAGGCACCGTTTCAAAGATCGCAATAGGGGACGATGGAAGAAGGTTGGAAAACGGAGGATGCACGAGCGACAGATTCTTATGCTGATCTGCCAGGCAAACAGCCCTAAGCGGCCGAATTTTTGACCCGTTCGACGAAATTTTAATGTTTGCTCGAACTAGTCTGCATACCAAACAGCGATCAAGATTCCCTGCAGACGTCCCGACGCGCATTGCGCATACACCTCGCGGATTTAACGCGACGTAATCTCTGGAGCATCGTTCCCTGCCCTCGCAGGAAAATATTTGACGTACGCAGCTCAAAATTCCAATTAACCGCAAACCCTTTGCCAACTCTCCTTTGGAAACCGCCCTAATTTACAATCAAACGTTTCACGAAATCCGTCCTGTAAAAATTTCCACGCAAATTCTTCCATCGACCCCACCGCAGATAGAAACATCGAGATGTATAATTTACCTTTACCTCGTGACACGAAGAGAGATAATTGGATTAAAAGTCGGGTACCAATCTCGAAGATCGACGGAACTTTATCTGGCTCATTGTTTACGCTCGTTAATACGTTGGTTATAAAAATTGCGCCACTGATAACTGGATAATGCGAGGAATATAATTCAGCGAGAGATAGGCGGCCTAATGGGACTGAAAAGAGGAACGAAGGAACGAAAGCATCGCTCTTATCGACGAAACTCGTGGTCCCGTGCAATGCGATCTTTTACAGAAATTCGCAAACAGTCGTGCAATTATGTCACACTCTGGTAATTGTCACGGGTCGGTATCGTGACGAGTAAATTTCCGCGATGAGCGTTTAAATCGTTGAATTCATCTGGATTAATAAACTCGCCGGAGAATCGATGATTCGATCGGTGGCATCCGTTTCTGTAGAATTTTCGAGCCACCGGTGACACTGGTTTCCGAAAGCAATCGGAGATCCTCGTGGGACACGCGGGGAGTATCTCGAACGAATTACCCGATTACAGGCCGAAGGTTAGCGTCTACTGGCTCGAGGAGCAAAAGAAAAACAGGGAAGACGAAATTCATGGAGAGCGGAATAAAATCGCGATGACGATCTGCTCGCTCGACGATCGCGCGGAATCGCGGCGTAATCTCTCGTGGATAGGACAGCTGGGTACGCATCGCGGCCGTCTTTTTACGAGGAAAAACGTCTTTCCATTTTTTTGATGACGCCGCCTCTTAGAGTTTCGCGCCAGACGCGCAGGGATACGAGCAATTTAAATTTAATGCCGCCTTTTACGCCCCTCCGCCACGCGCTACCCCCTAAGACCCTTATTCCCTTCTCTATTCGTCGCCATTTTCCTTCACCGACCCGACCACGTCGTCGTCCTCGTCGCCACTGTCTCTCACCCTCTAAGTCACCGTCGATGCGTTCCACCTCGCGATCTTTATCTCGAGATTGCGACTTCCAAGGGAGCAACCACGGCTACTCTCTCTGCCGGGCTAGTCTGAAAAGAAGAGACCTCCCGGTAGCCCTCGATCCATCTAGATATCGCCGTGTCAACCATGCCCGACAAACACTCGCCTTGACCCGAAAATCTTCATTTTTATTCCACCCTGCCTTTTTCGCCACGCGTGCAACCCCGCCATGGGGGACATGGGGTCGTAGGTGAGATTCCGGAGCGGAGATTGTCCCTCAGAGGACCACAATACGGAGCCACGAACCGTGACATATTTTCGGGGTCCATGGTAATTCCATAATTTCGACGTCCATCACGAATCTCCATCCTCGTGATCCCTCATTGTCCCTGGCAAATAACGTCGTTGATATCATCGACGGAGCGTCACATCGCGGTCAGAGTCCCGTCGATGACGATGATCCCGCGCGTGTTAAACAGTCCAAGGTGTTGAACGTCTCCCGGGAAACGTATGTCGGGGAAATTGACCGAGACAGGAAGAAATGTTGCAGGGCGTTTACCAAGGCGAACAATTCGGTGCGACGTGACAAGTTTGGAGGAAGAAAAATTCGCCCCGAAACGAGATTGTTTATTCAAATGCGTCCCCTCGGCCGGAGAAGCTGGCACGTGGAGAGACGGAGTGCTCCTTCTACGAAAATTCGAGTTACCGTGCGCGCGATTAATAAATAACTCGGGAAAAGGGGTAGCGCGTATCGTTGGCCATAGAGAAGAAAAACGATCGCGCGAGAAACGCTCGCGAGAACGCGCCTTTATTTTCCCTGATTGCGAATAACTCTGCGAAACTGCCCGTTGACACGTGAAACGGGTCCGAGGAGTCGTGATAAGCCCGGCTTTTATTAAAATAACTCGCACACGCCAGCGAACAATAACGCGCTAATCAACCGGATAAGGATTTTCGAGGGA